ATACTGTAATTGTACAGTAGGTGAATTGATGTACCGATATATTTTTGCTTGAATTGGGCTTCACTATAATCTTGGGCCTTTTCACTGCTGCTGTACCTCCCCTCCCCTCTGAACACACTATAAAGCACTTATTCTATTAGAGTAAGAGTGCTCGTAATTTGAAGCTCGCGCTGAGCTGCGATTGCAATTTGAACTGGTCATCTGCTCTACACCCATTAGAAATCCTAGACACTGCGATTGATTCGCTAGCTACTATTTTAGATACTTTTTCTTAGGAAAAAAGCTGACAAAAAACTGTCTAATAAGGATACCTGCATATATCGTAGCGATCGAACATGCTGAGCGTATGATTGTTAAGACCTCTCCTAGCCAATGTTAACGCACATCCACGCATAAATAAACGCTTACCGGTGGGTTGACCTGAAAAAGCGAAAAAGTTGCTATCCCAGGTTAGCACGGTTAATTCACAACTTTACCCATAATATAGAGGTCCTGTTGTACCGTAAGACATATGGTACGACATGATACCAAATGCATAGACTCGGGATTCATCGGTTCATCGCATTGGTAAGAAAAGTTCTTTGGAGGAGTAAAATATCTACAAAACACAGGTTTTGTGTTTAATGTCTAATTCCAATTTATTTTCCTAGAAATCCTACCGATCCAATCCATTTTTAAAGAATTCTTCATACATTGGTGACATACAGCTGTAACAGCGATTCTGCCGGTACATGCCTGAAAATCAATCAGTGCAGGGTATTGATATGTTGCGTAAAAATTGGTTAGATACTGACCTGCCTCAACATATGCTAATAAAAAAGGTATACATAAGGACAACATCTGCTATCATAATGTGCAACGCATACACTGTAATGTTTTCATAAAATCGATAATCGATTGATAGGTAAACTTGAAAACGTGTCAGAGAGGATAAAGAAGGCGATGTTTTTTTTTTTCAACAATTGAAAGAACAATCTATAGAGGTAATTGTTGCCTGATTAAGCAAGACAAGCTGCTTAGAAGTCCCTGATTTTCAAGAAAAAATCGATCCAAATTTCTCTCAGAAGGTCATGTAGCAAAACTTATGGTGGCAAGACATTTTCAAGATATCAGCAAAAGACTACATTCCACAGAAAAGCAGAAACTCGTAATTCTTCCTCTACTCTACTTGACGAAGTAGTGCACCATGACGTACTGGAATGCACCATGGCGCAAGGTAGTCTCTTATTCGTGAATATCTTCTTTTTGGGGTCGGAAAAATGAGTAGAGTTGGAAATTGGAAAGAAATTGTACAATTTCATGTAAAAGCAATAGTAGGCAGAAGGAAGGAGTAGGACAGCATATACCCATTTTTGATTAGATAGTGCTCGGAAGATTCAATTCTTATGAATGCACATAACGATCACGGTTGAGTCTATAGCAAAGAACGCTTTCTGCATTCTTTCCATCCCTAATCTTACAGAAGAGATTAGATCATGAGCTGAAATAAGAGCTGAATTTGGTGTACATAGACAGATAAAGCATGTGTTAGTGAGCGTTGTCTGTTTTATGAGAATATCCTACATGATGAATATCTTCCTGTAAAAAAAAGTAGGTGGCAAATTGCTATGGTGAAATCTGTTCTTTTGATTGAGAACCCAATCAAAAATGTCTAGGAGGCAATTTGCTCCACCAGTGAAAACGTCTGCTTGCCCCGATATCCTTCGCGAAGATACTCTAGAGCGAAAGGTGCGAGAGAAGTTTTAAAAGAAGCAACTTGAAGCTGGGAAAAAACTACGAAATAAGATATTTTTGTTGTAATGTTGCAG